AATAGAAATGTAGTGGACTTGAAAGTGGAGAGGACAGAGGAGGACTAATGTGGTCTCATTCCTTGGAATAATAGAATTATTTGAGTGTGGCTGATTCTGGATTCCCTAGAAGTTGGGAGCTGGAAATTAGGAAGGCCGTAATTTTGGTAAGGTCTGACTTATTAAAAATGGGATTCAGGCAGTGTTCTGCTTATGGGCAAAGAAGAAGAATTGTAAATTTGATATCAAAGAAGAGTCCAAGATTTGTTGCCTTGGGACTATGGTTAATATTAGACATAAGTCAAACAAATCTTTTTCTGCAGGGGAAGAATTTTAGATTCTGAGGCATTCTTGTCTAAATATACAAAACTCTGGAATCCACAGATCAGGCATCCTAAATGTGGTTCATTCCAAATTTTAGTAATTAATTAATATTCATTCTTATTTTCTAATAGTCTTCTTCTTTGTACGGTTTAAAAAAACCAGCAGTGTTAGATATCCAAGTCTAGGTTGGCAATCCAATTAATAGCTTCAGATAACACAGAGTGGATCGCAGATATACTACTGGAATATGTTCATTTGGGACATTGACTGATGAGATATTCTGTAGTTTGAGGTCCATTTCTTCAGTCACAAATATGATTGTGTCTCAGTTCCCTTAATGGACAAAGTAGGTGCATCTGCCATGTGATATGTGGATGCTATTCAAAGTGAACGATATTTTCTATCGGAGTGAAAAGCCACTGGATTTTTCAGATGGTTCCTTGATGAGGTGTTTCTTTGGGATGTTGGCATCCTTCCACTTTTCTGCCATTGATCTGTTCAGCGAAGTTGCAGACTTAACAGCAATAGACTTAATTTTCCGAAAGTGTCACAATGTACTAGACATATTTCAAAATGAAAAGAAAACATGGTCTGTGCCCCAAGGAGCTTGCAACCTAAAAACAGAAAAAGAAGAGCAGGTGAAAGGGGCAGAACTTATTAGGAGAGTGTTCAAGATGGTGCTTAGCCACATCTTGTTCATGTATCGTTCTATTTGTCATAGTTCTTGCATCCACTTCTCCAAACAATGAATAAATAAGGCTCAATTATTCCTCAAACTGGTCAATGTAAGTCAGCTAGTTTCCCTGTAGGGTGTCCAAGTGATAGTGGATCTTCGTGAGGGACTTGAGTGCAGAGATGATAGAGGCCTTGTGGATGAACTCAAGAAAGGCATTTCATGCTTAGAGATGGTGTGGAAGAAGGCATGGAGATGTGTATGTTATAAACTGACAAATGGGTAGTTAAGGCTAGCATCATTACCGGGGTTGAGAAAGGACAAGGGAAGGGCACAATTATGCAGGATTTTAAAGACATTGACAAGAAACTTGATACGTGAAACTTGATACATGTGTGTGTGTGGACCAGATGTGTGAGAGGAGGGAGTGGTATGGTTGGAATGGTTGGCAAGGAAGGTAGAGCTGGTTGGAACATTTTCAACCAACACTCTCCTCCCCCCCCCCATTGAAATATCATGTTGTTTCATCAAAGCCAAAACATTTTTTTTTTGGACATGTATTGATTTTGATGAACTTTTCACTGGGAAAGATTTCTGCAGTGCAGGGTGGACTCCCCAGTCACTTCCAGAGAGACAGAGAAAGCTGGAGAAAGAGAAACCCAAATCGAAAACCTGATTAAAAATAGATGTTTAGACACAATTTCATTTTCTGAAAGCATTTAAAAGGTGTTGGTTTTGTTCCAGCGCAGAATGAAAACAAATTCTGGAACCTCAGAGGTTGTAATGAATTGTTGTTCTCCAGCCAGCTCTACAGGAGGGTGAATTGTTGTCAGGAAGGACTAATTAAAAATGGAGTCAGAAGTTGAGTATTTGACCCAAATCACAAGAGCCTACATTAATTGTTCTGGCAGAGTGTCCCACCTAGACTTTAACCACTCATTCTAATATAGGATATAAGGGTTGGTTACAGTGTTTTATGGGAATAATGTACTACTGGGTTTGTGCTTGTATTAGCAGAACTGGATTTTTCAGAATTTTGCACTATGACACTATTCTCTGTACTGAAAGGTTTTAGTGATGGTGACATAGTCATTGCATAATACACACATATTCATCCATTTGGTTGGTGGTAATGTATTCATTCATCTTGTTGTTTTAAAACTAGACTGATTTTTTTTACACTGAAAGTTATGAAGGCCCAGCTCCTGAAAGGCATTTAGGTGCTTAACTCTCATTAAAATTAATTGGAGTTTCTGTGAGAATCTAGGCTCAAATTCATATTTGAGCAGCTGACTAGAAGTGGTCTGATTTTCACAAAGTATTGACCAGCTGCTGTCCTGTTGATTTTAATGGGATTTGAGGGTGCTCAGTGGTTCTGAAAATCAGATTACTTTTAAGTAGAGGCTCAGAATGGATTTAAGAGCATGATTTTAGGCACCCAGATGCCAGATCTCAACATTATAGTCATGTTCCTCCGAGCATAACAGGACCTAAGGCATATAAAGGGATGCATTCTAACCGTAAAAATTCTTAATATATTTTTGTTCTTTATTTACCTCGAATATATTCATTCCTCTGAGTAGTCAAGAATCTGCTAATAATCCTAGAGCAATACACGTTGTGTTGCTCCCCTACAGTGTGCTTCTAAATTTAAAATTGGGAAGGGACGCCCTCTAGAGGTCAAATTACAAAGAAGTTGATGAAGTGAGCTGCAGCTCAGGAAAGCTTATGCTCAAATAAATTGGTTAGTCTCTAAGGTGCCAGAAGTACTCCTTTTCTTTTTGCGAATAATAGAAACTGACTCTCTTGGCTGGAATAGTGTAGTAAGACTGATGTTTTAAAACATCAGGTAGGAGGAGTTTTACTTCATTTGAATTACTTTGCGAAACAGGAAACGAGCAACCACTGAACTGAATACATAACGTCAGCAAAAAGTAACTCTTATGATTTTAAAAGACAAGTTACAAAAGGGAAATGCTCAAGTTCACTGCCAGATATGCTGCTGCTCTACGGTTCTGCCTCACTGATACGCTTGTAATCTTCGTAGCTGAATGCAGCTTTATAAACCCCCTTCAATAGGTTGAAATTACTGTTAGAAAAATCTCTTCTCCTTTTGCTGGCTATTTACTTTGAACGCAGGAACCCTCAGCGTTCATGTACAACAAAATATAATGGCCAAATTTAATTTCACTGGAGCTTCACCAGAGCTGAATTTGGCCCAGCTGGTTGAATTTAACTTCTTCATAATTCTAACCTGTTTTTTATTTGTTATACATAACACCTAAATCGAACGTATGACCAATGTAACCTCAGAGACCAGCTATGTATAATGCTCTCACTTTGGTTTTTGTATTTACATTAAAACGTTATTGATTTCCGTTTTACAGCAATTTCATAGTGTGCTCTAACTGCCAAGGTTTTGTTTCACAACTCAATTACAACACAGTGGACATTTTTAAGGACTCAGGACAGAGATGCGATGTTTGCCTTGATAGTAATGTTTGTGATTAAAAGAATAACGGGAGTATCCGCTAGATCTGTTGTGTCACGACACTGGAACGTCGTGTCACACTTACCTGAGCGTGATCATTCCCAGATGCTTAGCAGCAAACTAGCAACCCCTTTTGATAACCTTAAACAACTGAAATAAATCAGTTACATGGTGCTCCGTCCTGGGGCCTTTATGGAAGGTAGCTGGCTCTCAGGTAGTAGTACCACATCTACAGACTAGGGATCTATGGCTCAGCGAGCAAGAGGCAAGGCAGCTACCGTGTGAAGTAAAAGCGTGAAAGGCAAGGCATGAAATTGACTGAAAAATTGCTTGAGCGCACAAAACTCGGATCGCCTCTGTACCGCTCACAGTGGAGCTCAGTATAGATGTTCTCAAAAAGAACAGGAGGACTTGAGGCACCTTAGAGACTAACAAGTTTATTTGAGCATAAGCTTTCCTGAGCTACAGCTCACTTCATCGGATGCATTGGTTCTAGCTCTTACACTGATTAACAGCCTTCTATTACAGCTCGATGTTTAAATAAATATTTGATGGTGCACCAGGAAATGTGGCATGTGTGTATAAATGCTACAGGAACCCTTAGAATCATAGAATATCAGGGTTGGAAGGGACCTCAGGAGGTCATCTAGTCCAACCCCCTGCTCAAAGCAGGGCCAATCCCCAATTTTTGCCCCCGATCCCTAAATGGCCCCCTCAAGGATTGAGCTCACAATCACAACCCTGGGTTTAGCAGGACAATGCTCAAACCACTGAGCTATCCCTCACACCCCCATGTAACTGCAGCAATAAGTCCAATGCAGAAGCTTTAAATTATATATTTTTCCTTACTAAATCGGAGTATCCTTTGAATGAAAACACACTGTGAATGTTTTTGATACAATACTTGACTTATTAATAACAATTACCTACGAGTCATTAAAAAAGCATTGCAAGCCCGGTGATCTTCTTAGCTATGTTAATCAAACCAGGTGGATTTTAGCTTGTAATTTAGGATTTCAGTAAGGGTGTTTGCCAGAATTTGCGATAAGATACCTTGATCAGGAAAAAAAAAACATCACTGGAAAAACTCCATCGTAATGGGGCCTTCGTTTGCATTTTACTGGCTTACTTGTCATTCCTGCAAGGGCTGGTAAATTTCCTTTTCTGCCTAATTAATTGCTGTACAAGCGGCTCGGAAGGCCTGGAAAAACAAAGCCCTTTTTAGAGAGCAAGACGCAGTGAAGAACCCTGCCGAAGCCTTCCGTCTTCCACGCTTCCGTGTTTGCTTTGAAGCAGAAGTGTGGGTTTTCTATGGGGTCGGCTTGGCGCCCCGGCAGTGCCCACTCCACTTGCGGAAGCCTCGTACACATGCCGCATGTGAAACGAATTAGCTCGGGACAGGGGCAGAGGGAGTCGCGCCCCTGTGAGCTCGGCTCTGTTCTCCAGCAGTCGCAGTCAGGGCTGGCACATTCGGGGCTCCCCCTCCCCACGCTTCGCTGGGCACGGCGGAATGGGCACCAAGCCCTTGGCGGCAGGGCTGAATGACCGGGGCTCGCTCCGGAGCAGCGAGGAGTTCAGCACCCGCGCCCCTTGGACAGCGACCTGGGCTCCCCAGCGCCGCCCAGCGCAGCGCCAAGCGATCGGCACCCACCCAGCCCCGGCTGCGGGGGGGCAGCAAGCCCGAAAAGCTGCGGATGGGCGTTTGCGGGGGAGGGAGACAGGCGCTGCAGCTCCAGCATGAGCCGGCTCCTCCGGCCCGGACCGCTGGGGGGAGATGATCGCTGCCCGGCTGCGGATGGCCGGCGGCTCCTGACTGCCCGTGGGGAGGATGGAGACTCCAGACCCGTCGCGGTGCCTGACTCACCGGGAACGGGGTTGCTGAGGCTTTGCTAGGAGACGGCTGCCCGCCAATGGGCCACGACTTAAAGCCTTTCTCTCTGCTTGTGGGGAGCAGGGGAACCGCTGAGGACCCCGAGGTACCATGGAGACGGGGCAGCCCTCCCTGACCTGGGGGATTTCGCCTCTTTAAACGAGGGACCCGGCTCTGGTGAGATCAGCGGGATCCAGCGCTGCGCCTTCGGTGCCAGGATGGTGAGTGGCGCTTGGGTACCTTTCCACCCCCGGCCCCACTGGGGGATTCCCCGCCAGCAGCCAGCCTGCCCTGTGCGTGGCGGGGAAGCTTAGGGGGTGTCTGTGAAAGGGTAGATCTGGCATTTCGCCTCTCGCCCTTTATCGGCCCTGGCCTAAGAGCCCGCCACTGATGGGTCTGAGGCTGGTTCCCCGCCAATCGGTTCCCCCCAGCCAGGGTTGCTGCGCGGTACAGCCCGGAGCGCAGGAACAGCTCTGGAAGTGGCTAAAGATCCCCCATCCCACCTACAGGCCAGATTTAACCGAAATCAAAAGAAAGGCTCCTCGTCACTTGCAGTGCCTGAAGGGACCTGGCGCTAGAGCGTAATTGAAGGGTCAACCACTGTTCTAGACAAACCCTGCCCTGTAATAGTCCCATCACTATCCCGCACTTTCAGAGCGCGGTGGGGGCTTAAACTTGGCGCACAAGAGCTCGTGGGTGGGGGAGAAGGCAATTTCTGATAGGAATTTGAGGATGACAGAAATGCAGCGTTGGACACAGAATCATAGAATATCAGAGTTGGAAGGGACCTCAGGAGGCCATCTAGTCCAACCCCCTGCTTAAAGCCGGAGGGATCCCCAATTTTTGCCCCAGATCCCAAATGGCCCCCTCAAGGATTAAACTCACAACCCTGGGTTTAGCAGGCCAATGCTCAAACCACTGCGCTATGAATAGAGAGATGGTGTCACAGACAGACATTTAGACCAGGTCCCTCGAAAAGAGTGACGGGCACTTTATTAAGGTTAGAAAGTTATTCATTGGCCAAGATGCAAATGTCTGCCTGGACCTGGCATGGACTTCACATTAACCACTGATAGGTGACATAACTCTTATGGGGAATAGTGTCAATCAAACAGAATAGCTTCTGTGGATTTACAAGTTTTCTTGGGCTGAATTTATGTGACTAACTTTGACAGGTTAACATATATATATATATATATATATATATATATATATATATATATATTTTTTTTTATTCTTTAAAAATGTGTTTCCATGACAAGCCCTATTCTGATCATTCTGGTGAATATTGTGCATTTTATCAAATCCCAGAAATGATGCTTCTTTCCATTGACCTGCACAGCAGCAATGCAGTATCCCACTGCTCTGTCAAGTACCTGCAGCAAGTAAAATTCCCATTGACTTCCCTGCAGGTTTTGCCTGCTGTATAATGATAATACTGAAGAAATGCAGGATCAGGCCTTCATTGTGAAAATTTAAAAATGTGGCAGAAATGCTTACTGAGGACTTTCCTTTTCTTCTAAGTAAATTCTGATATTAAAATAGTGATTTTAATCATTTTAAGCAGTGGGGTTGGAGGGCCAACTGGGCCCTGCAGTCCCCATTCTCACACCAACTCACCATGGGCATACACCAAACCCCATTCCTCTCACAGGTGGGTTTAACATTAACATCAGTGGGCTTTGGATCATGCCCATGTGAATTTGGGTAAGTCTCCAATTTGCAAAAGCTGCCCCTAACTTCAGGTAATCATTGCTGTAATGATACTATTTATCTGTATAACTTAATGTTTGCTCACCTTTTTAATCCACTGTCACCTCCATTTTATAGGTATCTAGATAAACACATACACAATAATTGAGACAACAGTGGGGCTAATCTTGCTTTCTGTTACACTGATGTAAATTTGCGCTAACTCCTTTCACTCCATGGGAGTGAATCTGGATTGACATCAGTGTATCAGAACAGATTTTAGCTTGCTTTTGCCTGTTTCCTAATCTATAAAACAGGACTAAGAATTTTTTTTACCCTAAATTTTTTTTAAATGTACGGATAAATAATACTCAACTTTGTAAAGGACTTGGTTGAAAGGAACTAAATGAGCGCAAAGTGTTATTTCTCTATTTTGTATTATATTATAACAGTGGAATTTAAAATATTATGGGCTTGCATGATTCAAGGGCACTTTTGTAAATAATTTTTCCATATTCCTATATTTATTTTTGCAGTATGGATTTATAAACACATGCCTGAAGTTTTTGGTGGCTGAAAAATATGGTGAAGAAACATGGGAAAAATTAAGGTAACTCATTCCTATGGAATTTAATAAATTAAGAGAAAGTATAAAAAGGAATATAGTACCACAGAATACCAATCTCTCACTGTTGAATGAATGCTGAAGTATTCATTATTCAGTAAGCAATCATTAAAAATACCTATTAAGTCAAAGTCAAGGCTTTTACACTGCAACATTTTATCCTAGGATATTAATTACTTCATGTATTAGACCAAATAATGAAGGATGACGTTTTGTCTGAGGGACATATGTGCAACAGACACACTGGCTCATTGTATCATTATTGAAAAGTAATTATGCTGAATAGAAGCCACCCTTATTTTGAAATCAATTTAATCTAGGAGCCTCAGGGGAAAGTAATTAAATGTAATAGAAAACATTGATTTTGCTCTCGCTCTCTCTCTCTCTTTTTTGAACTTGAAAAGCTTTATGAAATTTTACTTAATATAAAGAAATAAAAATAAAACAAATGTAGATACCAAGAGGCACAGGGCCTGATCCAAAGTCCATTGGAACCAATGGAAAGATTCCCATTGACTCAAATAGGTTTTGGTTCAGGCCCACAGAGAACCAAGAATGTATCAGAATGTGCCACAATGTACAGTAAACCAGTGAAACAAAAGCAATACTGTCATCTGTACAGTGCCTAACACAATGGGGCACTAATACTAGGTTGGGGTTCATAGGAACTACCATAATAAATAATATGATCAGCCTTGTACAGCATACATCCTGATTCAGCCAATCACTTAGGCACGTATTTAAGTCTCACCAACGTCAATGTGACCTCTCACATGAGCAAAGGTTGTAGGTTTGAGCCCTAAGTTTACATTCTGTCCTCAACAGGTACTCATCTATCCAGTTAACATTAATGAAGGGAAGGGTCATTCTCAGGTACCACAGTGAGGGGTGCAAATAGGAGAACTGTGATTAAGGGATGCCAGCTGGGTCTTAAACGTATTCTGTTTAGAATGATATTGCAACATGAATCTCATTTTTGTTTCAGAATCCAGGCAGGAGTTCAGGACACATTTCTGACTTTTGAAGTTTACAAAGATGAGATCACAATGCAGCTAATTGACAAAGCCTGCAAAATGTTAGGTATGTCAATGCAATACAAAACAATACCTGGGCCCAAGCCTCTGAGGTCTTGTGCCCCATATAAGTCAATGGGAGTTTTCCAAATGAGTGGAAAGTGTAACTGGGCTTTCTATAAACCAGGGACTAAGCTGATCTTGGGTTATACCTGCTTGTACTGGAGCAGGGTCAGAGTTGGGAAGTCCATCCAGAAGGCAGTTGCACCAACCTCATGATAAAAAGTGCTTGTAGCAGGCCACTGTTTGGAGCTCCCAAAATGGGTAATGTTAGTTAGGATTAATTGACCAGACACCCTTCACTAGTGTGGGGTCCTACAGGGCCCTGAACTCTGTTTAAGACCATCCTCCCCATCTACCCTTTTGGGGGAAGGCAATAGTGAAAACATTGCCTGCCCTTCTCCCAGGAAGATGGCTGCAGCCCCAGGGATCAGGGAGGTGCAGTTTTCATCTCCAGGCACTAATGGGGAGAACAGAGTCAGAGAACAGTATTAAGAATTAATATTGAAAACATTAGAATTTCAGACATGTACTGGAGGTGGCTTTTTTGTTTTCTATTTTAGACAATGGGACAGCTAGAGAAAATACATGTTTTTCCATTTGTAACAGTCATATAACTTTTTTTTGCAACTTTTCTTTAAAAATAATATACAATAAAGATGCGTAATACATAGCCATGGCTTTTGCTGCTAGTTGGAGATCAACACATTTCAAAAGACTGACCAAATTAGACTTGTGGGTTGGGATATTTGGGTGTAGCATGGTTGCTTTGCACTGTGTTGCCATCAAGCCAACCTAGTAAGCAATGGATGGAAGAACAGTTCAGTGAAAGGAGGATATTCTGGTGGCATAGGAGCTCCTACGTCCCTTTCCTGTTACATATGGGGTCATGGCTGAAGGAAAGGGGGCAAGAAGGAAAGGGGGCAAGATGGGCAAGGGGGAAAGGGGGCAAGATGGACTACCCTGATCCCCCATCTGTGGTTTCAGCTTCTTGGGGCTAACAGCTAGTGAGCTAGAGCTGCTCTCAGGATGCTCCCAGTTAAGCCCAGGAATGCACACAAGACCCCAGGGTAGGGAGAGTACAAAGGAGAGCTTTGTACTTTCACCCTCCCTGATCTCTGCTGTGTGGTTACACACACGTTTCTTAACATTCCCTACCATTTTTACAAACATTTTGCATTTATTGTTTGTCCATTTCTCAGCACTGTTCGAACTCTCACATCTGTCATGTTAATTAATTAAGGTACCTTTATTTTGCCAGATGTCCCCCCTGATATGGTTCTGAAGCAGTTTGGAGAGTTTTTCTTTGAATTTTGCAAACGGTCAGGCTATGACCATATGCTGAGAACTTTGGGTGGAAATCTCTATGAGTTCATCGAGAACTTGGATGCATTACATAGCTACCTGTCTCTTTCTTATCAGGCAAGTTTAAGTAAGAACTACTGAGCAGATATGGATGTACCCTGCCAGGGTTTACACACCAACGTGTCAACAAAATACTGTGCTACAACCATCCCTCTTGTGCACTGAAATTAATTATTCTGATGCACTAGTGGGGAAAGAAGTCAGCTATTCTAAGTTATCCTTAATACTAGATGTAAAGTTATTCAATACTTTGAATCAAATAAAAGGTATAGTTTCCTTCTAACATAAAGATCTTTCATTTCTGATAAATGCAAATGAAATGAGATCAGCATTATAAAGTATAACTATTTATTTTGATAAGATACAAGGTGCTTTTATAGAGCTTGCTATTGCACTAGTTCCTTATGATAGAGGATATTTAACTATTATTATTATTTTCAGGAGATGAATGCACCTTCTTTTAGGGTAGAAAAGAATGAAGATGGGTCAATGCATTTGCATTACTACTCAGACAGAAGAGGTCTCTGCCATATTGTTCCAGGTAATAATGCAGTTGAGCTAGTAATGCATTACATCTATAAACTCATACATTTGCAGCTATTCTTTGCTTAGTTTTCCCAAGGATGAGAATTGACAGCCTGACAGTATCTTGATTGACTTTTAAATATTTTACTGTTATGGTTTAATTTGCAGAGATGCTGAGCATCTGCAGCTTTCATTGACTTCAGTGGGATTTGGGATGCTCAGCAATTCTGCAAAAGCAGTCCATTAATGTCTGTCCTGTCATAGCAGTTCTAAAACATACAGATTTTTATGATGGAAGAAGTTGAAACTGCTGATATGCATTATGGAGTCCACCTATGTGCTAGTTCTCAATATCTCATATCCCTAAAATCATTAAAATGGAGTATAAAGGACAGTTAATCTGAGGAGAGATGTTAAAAATAGATCATGGAGACATCCTGCAATGAATATCCAGGCAAAACTGCCATTGGACTCAATTCAGCACTAGGCTCTCCATTATCATTTGCAAGAATCTGTATCTTCACTCAGAAACTGATTCATGTGAACATTGAGAGAATCACTATATTTCACAATTTGTGCTATGATTAAATAGATCCCTACTCGTAACCTCTAGATGATTAAGTGGAGCCCCTTCAAAGGAACTTGTAATCTAAAATGGGAATCAAAGCTTCTCCCTTTATGAATACCCATTGCCTTTTGATATTTCAGAATGTATAGTGATTTGAGACTTCACCGGTCTCTAGAAATTCAGAATAATTTTTCAGATCATTGTCACTGTATAATACTGCACGCAGCTACCACATATTACTAAGTACAAATGGAAGCAGTAATAATGCATGTTGATGCAATGTCTTATTTCAAGAGAGAAAATTCCCCTTAACTACATAATCAAGGTCAGACTGTGTAAAATGTTATTCAAAATAAAAAGGAAGAATCATAGCAAAACTCTATCATCTGTCTAAATATACATATTAGAAAATAGCTGCAGTGTGTTTTACAAAGGAAAACATTTTGTACATGCATGACAATCAGCAAGATTGAGACTAATCCGCACAGGAGGGTAAGAGGAGTAAAGCCTCAAAGCACCCCTCAACCCAGCAATACAGGACGTGTTTGGATCTTGAATCTAGGCATGGAGTGAAAGGGGGGTGGGAAACCAGGGCCTTCTAGCCCAATACTGCTCTCCTGGGCCCATATGGGTGAGGATGAGGCAGGCTGATTGAGGCGAGGTGATGGGGAGGCTACCTCCATTGCCCAGCCAGAAGAGTGCAGTGTCTGAAGAAGAGCCAAAGCAGAAAATGATGCAAACTACCACTCTTCCCCCTCCACTCCCCACATCAAATGGGAGCTCTGCAGGGATTCGGAATCAGAGAGGTGTCTCTGAGTCACAATTCCTCCTCAGCGCTCTGCTTAGGGTAGTGCAGCTACAAACCCCTTTTTACTTATGGCTCCGTCTAAAGGCTCAATTAAGTCCTTAGAGAATTTTTCAGATTCTACAGATCTTCTGAACTAACTTTGTTTGCTATGTTGATAGTTAAATATGTCTCATAACATCCCAAGGTGTACGTCACATCAAAGCTAGTGTAAATCGCCCTTGTGCTATATAAAATTACTGGGGGTAGGCTGATTTACACCAGCTGAGGATTTAGCCCAAAATGTACACATTGGTGTACCTAGTCTTATTGATTCATCATGTCATCTTGCGCTTCTGATTTTTTATATATAAACACTCAAAACTGCATAAGTTAGGTATAAATGCTAGAATTGGTACACAGCATTGCAGATATTTGTTACAATGGAAGGTTTTAGTTCGCTACAGAAATTTGTCTTTTATTCCCTTTCAGGAATCATTGGTGCAGCAGCCCTGGATTTTTTCAACACTGAAATTTCAATGGAAATAGTCAATCAAACAGAGGAGGAAGAAAGAACTGGGAAAAAAGAACATATAGTTTTCCTTGTCACTCAAAAACCTGTATTTTCATACAAAAAGAGAAATAAATTCTCTTCCTCACCACAATACATTGCTGACTCTGGAAGGCAAATTGAGAAACAACTGAATAAAGAGGTATTTTGATGTTCCTCCTATAAATGAATGTCAGGGAAATAAATATCTTTCATTAATATATATTGTACCTGGGATTTTTTTACCCAAAATATGTTAGATGAATCTGCTGTTACCATTTAAGGCTCCTATCCTGCAAGTTACTTCATGTAGACAGATCCCACTGACACCACAGAATAATATGCAGGACTGGGTCCTGCAGATCCAATCTCCAATTTACTGAATGCCTTCAGCTCCCATTAAAATCTGTAGGAAATCAAATATTTCAATAAGAAGTAAGGATCGCTAATCACTGCACAGTTTCATGCCCTGAGCCTCTGGGAACTAACTTAAGAAGTTTGACATGATTATTTGCAGTTATTTGTTTAGTCTGGTATAAAAATATAAATGTAGGTACCAAGTTTTCAAAAGCTGCCTCTAAGCTTGCAGTGTGCGTACCCTCATGTGCATACCCACATTTTTGGGCATGTATTTCTGAGTTCCTAAATTTGGATTGCACAAATGGAATTTGCACATGAAGATCAGGTAGATGCTAAGTATCTGATTTGGACATTTGTACAAATCTGTGACTGTCTGGGTGTGCAAGATCTTGTACACCACAGACAACTGTATGTTGAACTACCAAATTTGCATGTCTCAGTTTAAGTTCAAAGGCTGGGGTCAAGGAATTTTGAAAATTTGGCCCTTTATATTTTTTTATCTCCATTAAAGTATTTTTCTTTGGGTCAGATCCTCAGCTAGTGTAAATTAGCATAGCTTCTTTGAAGTTAGTGGGCCTATAGTGATTTACACCTGATGAGGATTTGGCCCTCAGAGCTAGAGTTTTAAGAACTGAAAAAAGAGTTGAATGTTCAGATTGGGTTTATTCCACAGGATATTGAAAAAAACCTGAATAAGATTAGAGACAGAACAAGCCTTGTTTCTATTTGTCCTGCCAAGAAAAATCACTGGGAAACAATCAGAGGAATCGTTACACTAGGAAGAGGTAAGAGGGAGATCATTCAAAGGGAATCTGACATCATCTATTAATACTGTTAATTTAGTATTCTATAAGCCGTACATAACTTCACTTCCATTAGCTACTCACCAATCATATTTTCCCTGTATCCTTTCAGTAGAATATCGTATTCCATCAAAGTTGTGGACAAAGAAGCATGCTTACTGACAGCACATTCTCAAGTGCAGCAGGTTGTGTGTCTCTCAGACTTTAAAGTGTCTCATCTTTAGAGTGTGTTTATACATGAAAAGTGCTTCTGTAAAACAGCATCATGGAGTTCCATGTTTAATTACAATGATTTCCAGATCAAGTAGTCTCAGTTTATAAATAATAAAATAAAATAAAAGGTTTTCTAGCTGCCAGCCTTGTGAGCTCAACCTGAGATCTGATTCAAACTGGGTTATTTCCTTTTCAAACATCAGCAACTGTATTGGTTCTGTGGGTCAAATTATACCCTCTGCTACAGCTATGCAAGTATAATGCTGTCTGATTAATGCCCTAGGTGACACCTGTGTATCAATAGGTATCAGTAGGTTCTCTCAAGGGTAGCTGATTGAATTCTGTTGGTGATCCACAAAGATTAAAATCCAGTTCACTTTCCCATAGCTGTTTTGGTTCAATAGGGCTAATAGGAGTGAAAACTGATGTCTGAATCTAGCATCAACCTATATGACTCTAAATATACAGAACGAGCAGATCTGCTGAGTACAAAATTGCCATTTATCACTTTTTGAAGTAGAACTGCATTTTAAAAATCAAAGAAATTGATTCCTTGTGTTAACTTGTATCAGCTCGTCAATTGTTGGAGTTTGCAAGGGTCTGATTTTCAAAGATGCTGAGCTCCCACTGACTTCAGCTAGAGCTGCAGAACCTCAACTCTTCTGAAAATTAGGCCTCGCATTCTTAATCTAGCCCCCTTCTCTCCATAGTCACCTGAGAACTTGCTACCTTTGTTCCTCTGCTCCTAATGACAGACATTTGAAAATAGATCACTTGAAATAATCATCAGTCTGATAGCTATGGGTTACTGGAGAATGCTTAGCTATAAACCATGCAGTAATAATCATGCATTTCCCCATTCTCAGAGATTGTTTATTGTTATATGGGTAAAATAGTCAAAACTGCTTAAAGGTACACCTACACTGCAATTAAACACCCACAGCTGGGGGGCTGTTTAATTGAATTGGAGATGTACCTTTATGTAGAAAATAGATGGGTCGCTGCAGCCCGATCCTGAACATCTACACCACAATTAAACGGCCCCTCAGCCCAAGCCCGACAAGCCTAAGTCAGCTGACAAGGGCCAGCTGCAGGTGTTTAATCACAGTGTAGACATACCCTAAGTGACTGAGGTGCCTAAGACCTGTTGAAAATCAACAAGACTTGGGCATGTGTTTTATGTAGGCACTTTTGACATTTTAATCTACATGCTTTGTGCTCAGCATGTAATATGAAAACATCACCTTTCTGATTGCAAGCTGCTACCTTCCCTCAGACAAAGCAACTGCTTTCAGGAAAAGCTCAAGGAATGTTTCACACACACTTCTTTTGTTCTCCATTACTTGGACCAGATTTCTGCACATAAGGGACAGCAAACTGTGTCCCTAAACCTTTCCACTGTGAGTGTCCATAAGCAGCTGGCAGACTATATTGAACACCTTTGTTATATACCCTTTGGTGTGAATATCGCAGTGGCAATTGCTATAGTATCTGAAATATTAACAGAGCCGCACTGGTACCCATCTATTTTCTGCATAATTTCACACACATAAAAATTCATATTTTTCTGGGTTTAAAAACCTAAACTTTTTCATCCAGATAAAATTGAAATGGATGAGCCACTTTATATTTATCTACGGCATACGACACCTAGAATTTGCACATATCTATACTCACACATTATTTATATTGATTTACCTTATTGTTTCACATCATCCTGTTAATTATTTTTCTGAGCTACAATATGATCAAAAGCTTCAGATTTATCTTACTGCAGGTAAACTTCTGAGAGGATTTGATCCTGCTTATCCTACAACCCTCTGGATAGATACAAAAACATTTTGCAATGGACTTCCTTTCCATATTGTTTTTGATGAAGAGGTAAGGCAAGTACCTGGTAAGTAAGTTTTACACACACAAGCCATATAGGCCCAGATTCACAAAGGGATTTAGGCATTGCAATGCTGAGCAATGACAGGGTTGCGTCCTACGCCCCATCCTACTCATAGAGATAGGTGCCCATCTCTGCTAGCAATCCATGAACTGTGTTAAGACAGGTTTTCCTCTATCTCACTCCTGTGTGTGGCCTGATCCAGTAGATGTGCTCAGAGGCCATCTAGCACCACACAAAATGGCCAGGGAGTGTGTGTGTGTGGGAGGAGAACCTCCTCATAACCGTAAGCCCAGGGCTCACCCGGTGCACTAACCACTATGCTATGGAGTGATTCTCACTCTCTCTATGACCCAGTTAATAGTTAATTATTTAACTGAAGTGCAACAACTTCAGTAGGAGAGACTGAGGGAGCCCTACATCAGATTATCACATAGCCCTGTGGTTAGTGCTGAAAGGTGGCAGATACCTGATCAAATCCCTTCTTCTCATCAATTGGAGGGGGGACTTGAAGTGGGGTCTCCTGCATTGCAAGGGGTTTCACTGAGATTTCTGAGTGTGAAGTGGCTGCACACATGCTAACATGGTGCATCATTCTCAGTCACTCAATCATCAAACACCCATTAGTTTCCTGGATTCTCCAACATCTTTCCCTATCTCCTGGACTCCCTAGCAAAGTGACCTCTCCCCTGACAGTCCAGCACTAGCATCTGACTTCCCTTTTACATCCCCCACTCACAATCTCCTGTTCACCCAATGACTTCAGTGGAGCCTGGCTGATCAGTGAGACTCTGCATGCAGCAAAGGGCTCCTCTTCTAGGAAAACCCAGACACACAGCCACATGACTGGCACACCACCCCATCCTCTGGGAAGAGGAACCCAGATTCTTTTCAGTCCTAATGGCAGGACTCTGAGCCATTTCTCTTTCACAAACGTACTGCCACAAGGGGACTGGTATGAGCAGCTTCTCTGTTCCCACTGACTGCAGCGATTATGTGCTGGGGAACTCTCCCAGATTTGCTAATTTCCCTTATCTTGGTCCCTGGCAAGCTCCTCAATTTTCTACTCTCATGCTCTGCAGAGAATGTTGGCTTCACATAGGAGATGGATGGATGAGAGAGAGAGAGAAAGAGAGCATGTGGGTGGGTAGGGTAAGCAAAGCAAATAACTTAGCCACTTATGGGATGTGTTCCTGCAACTGGGCTAGATACAGAGGTTTCAAAATGTTCATGGGACCCACTTCATAATGTAGTAAATGGTGAATGAAAATCAGGGGTTTTAAGCCTTTTAAGGCATCTTATCAACACCACTGCAACCAGATTCTTTGTGCAGAATAAGATCTTGCTCCCATCAATTGGGGCAGGTCCTCAGCTGGGGTGCACTTAACATAGTCATGGAAAGTGAATTGCTTGTTGAGGAGAAAGTCCCAGGCCCTGCTGAAATTAGGGTCATATTATCATCAGTTTCAAAGACAGCTCTTAAACCCTTAAAAACTGATAAAAGATACGGCCAAAGAAAGTAACCATAGGTCAATGGTGCCCATTACAAAGTTAGTATTTGCCAACACATTTGCCACCACAGTTATTTTCTATTCTGAGTGTAGGTCAATACTGTGATATCTCTCAGATCTCCCTTTGTGGTAGTTGCTGGCAAAGGCTGACTGGTTAATTTGTTTTTGTAATTATAGTATTTAACTATAATGAGTGGTATATCTTTTAAAAAGGTTCTAGAAACACCCATCCCAAATGCTGAATGTCCCTTACAAAACTTAAGATTATAACAATCATTTTGAAAATCACAGAAAACAGCTTAAATCTGCTGCCACTACCATAGCCACCACAATGTGAAACCATGGCCATATGAGGAACAGAAAAGAGATCAAAGCATGGCAGATTATAGAAACAAACATAATATAATCCTCTTTAATGTTAGAATTAGTTTTTCTCCAAAGTCACCATGACATTGCTATACACCCTAGGGAGCCAGGAATTGTGGGGAGACAAGGAAGGAGCTTAATGAGTCTTAGAAAAAAATGATTCATATAACAGACTGGAGCTGAACTGAACTGATCATGCAGTGCTTTCTCATTACTAATCATTGATGTTCTACTGCATAGAATTGAGGGAAAATTGACTTGATTCTCCTCTCACTTGCACTGGTTTTTAGCTGCACTGGGATTGATTGAGTTGCACAGGACTTACATTGGTGTAAGCAAGACAAAGATCAGACTCATTACTTGAATATAATTGATATTTCACTGAAGATTAAAGTTTGGAAACTTAGCAAAACATATACACATGTATGATTATAACACTTTTTCCTAGTTCTATGTTATGTTATTCTATAAGACAGAAGCAATGCGGAGGAATGAGCCATGTACTTGAGCCATGAGATGGTTGACTGTTTGGCTCTGTGTGAAGCTAAGTCCATTTGAAAACAGTGATCATATATTGCAAGTGGTGGTTCAGATGACTGGTAGCTGATCCCAAAGAGGACATGAAATGTAATCTGTGGCCCATGTTGTTTTTAAGCTCAGAGTAAAGCAATCTGGGGTGAGCATTCAAAAGATTGTCCCTGGCCTTCAGACCATGGGCATTCGCCTGGATCATTACTTCAGTATCGTGCACCCAGAAGTGACATTCACCATCTCTAGCGTTCAGAAGTTTATCAACAGTCAATTTGTTTTCCGGACTAGGAGAGAGATGATGCCAGAGTCATGGAAACAACGTCCAATGCTAGAGCTGAGAGGTACATAATTTTTTCAATGAACATAAATGGCTCTTGCTAAATCAAGAATAACTGTAGAGTTGAATTAGCTGATTTCTCCTCCCTCCCTGCATTAGACAAATAAATGGCCAGCTGTTTGTATAGTATAGGAAAGATGAGTGATACTTTAATACACTCATGCCTGCCCCTCCCTCTGCAGGTATTGTGGGTTTTCTGGCAACAGAACGAATGAGATCCCATTTGTGGAAGGCTGGGGTATTGGGGATGCATAGAAGTGCTCACCCCAAAGCATGGAACCCATCTTTTTAGGGGCTTCCTGAGTTCTTGGGGCAAGGTAGATAGTGTGCAGGGGCAGAATGAGAAGGTAGCTCCCTACACAAACCCTCTGGTCCTTCTCCTTTGTTGTGTATGTGGTAGGATGATAAAATAGAAGCTATTTTAGCCATTAAGTTAAAGCAATCTCTGCTGAGTAGTTCTGCTGCCACTCCATGGCCCCTCCCACTTGTCCCAGTGGATATCCCCAGCACACAGCCAAGACCATCCCCTTCACTGGTAGTTTGGGGTGTGCAAGGCGAGGCCCAGCGAGCTAAGTTCTGCTCTCAGTACCACCTGCAAGGGAGCTGGAACAATTTGTATAGTGAGGGTATAGGCACCGACTCCGTGGGTGCTCCAGCCCTGGAGGACCCATGGAAAAAAATTACACTGGCAGCCAGCTTCCCCCCCTCCAGCGCCTCCTGCCCACTGGCAGCCCCACTGAGCCACTCCTCCCTCTCCCTCCCACTGCCTCCTGCCCACTGCAATCAAAGAATAGTCAGTTTCGCTTTTGTTTATAGTCATTTATACTTTCTGATTCTCATTTCTATCTTTCTCCTTTACTTAAAAATACAGAACAGTTTAAATTATTGTGACAAAGAAATCACTTTATTTGATTGGTTTTCCTTCAAAGAAAATGGTATTGAGTGGTGCTTTGATTGGTCCATTTAGTTGCAACAAAGTGTATATTTAAAAGGAAAGGAAAAAATGTGTTTTTGCCCTCACTTTGCTTCTTTAAGATATAAACAAGAAGGCCTGAAAAATATATTTGCTCATGTTTTGTCCTAGAAGTATCATGCATGTTAAATCTGGTCTTACCTTGTTTTGCTGGAGATCTTTTGGAAGGTTCCAGAAGTGTATGGGAGTTTGAGTAAAAAAGATGTTAACAAAACAAGGAGTTCTAAACAGTCAGAGTGAAAATTACATTTCCTCCCAGTTATTTACATTGAATTTCTATGGTATCTGTTATGTCATAAACCTGTTAGTTCTCCAGTTGTCCATACAATTTTTCAAGAAAAACACAATAGATAAGACTTGAATTTCTAACACAGAAAGCAAGCAGAATAAGAAAGAAAGAAAGAAAGAAAGAAAGAAAGAAAGAAAGAAAGAAAGATCTACCTATCCTTCAGGCATTCTTTATATATCATAAAGAAGCAAAAAAGAGCACAAGCTCAATTTTCCCCCTTGCAAGTCACCATTAAAACTCAATAATTCTCTCCTGTGCCTACAGACGAAGTAAAAACATATAGTATATCAAGCATAGTGTCAAAAGGAAAGAAACTCTCATAGGAAAGGTGGTCATATGCCGTTAGACTGGGTTTCAGAAAATCTGGGTTCAATGCCTGACTCTACCATAGACCTTCTGGGTGAAAATCCAGGCTCCGCTGAAGTCAATGGGAGTTTTGACAGGCATGTTGTAAGCAATGACTAAGGGAGAGTGGTTTCTAGTATAGAGAAGATAGCATGGGTCAGGATTAGCCACCTTCGGTTGCAAAAAGCCACTGTTTCCTACACAGCACAGCACAGCGTCCGTCATAGTCTGACAGAAACTCTAGGACCTGAGGGTATGTCTGCACTGCAATTAGACACCGGCGGCTGGCCCATGCCAGCTGGCTCTGGTTTGCGGGGCTCGGGCTGTGGGGCTGTTGAAGTGCAGTGCAGATATTCCAGCTCGGGCTGCAGCCTGAGCTCTGGGACCCTCCCACCTTGCAGGATCCTAGAGCCCAGAGTCCAGCCCAAGCCCAAACATCTACACTGCAATTAAACAGCCCCACAGTGAGAGTCCAAGTCAGCTGGCATGGGCCAGTCAAAGGTTTTTAATTGCAGTGCAGACAAACCCTGACAGTCCCCAAGGTGATATACACCTAAAGATAAGCCATTGTCCTACGGGCTAAGAATCCCATACTATTAAAACTAGGCTGTTGAAAGTCCTCACTTTCTTTTCCAATTCCTGTTCTAAACAGGCCAGATGATCTGGATGGAGTCTCTGCAGTGCATGCTCTATCTCTGCTCACCTTTACTGCGCACTTTGCATGAGTTGGAAGAGAGACAGATGCACATTGCAGACATAGCACCTCATGACGTTACCAGGGATTTGATTCTTCTCAACCAGCAAAGGCTGGCTGAGATGGAGCTCTCCAACCAGCTGGAGAGGAAGAAAGAAGAACTGCGGATACTCTCAAAGCACCTGGAGGAAGAGAAGAAAAAGACCGAAGCTCTGCTCTATGCCATGCTTCCAAAGCACGTGGCCAACCAGCTAAAAGAGGGGAAACGAGTTGAGGCAGGTGAATGAATATGATATGTGTATTTAAAAAAGCAGCCCTGTCCTTAATATTAGGTTTGGGAACTGTGCTGTTATCCAGAGCTGGCTCCAGGGATGTGCAAACTATGTAGCCTCAATGATACCCCCCTTTCTGGTGGCTGCCCATTCAGCAAGCACAATGCCAGTGCTCTGAGTGGCACCAAGAAAACAGGCTTTGTTTTGACCTAGACAGAAGATGGGAGGTGTGAGTATGGCTGGAGAGCTTTAGGAAAAAGACAGAGTGGAAGGGAGGAGGCGATTGAACAAATTGACTGTACTTCTACAATGCTGTCGTTCCTCTAAAAAAATGTGTAAGCCCAGCACTGGCCGGATTTAGGAAAGCATTTTTATTCTTATTTAGGACAGCATTTAAGCATATGCTTAAATTCCATTGAAGTAAATGGGCCTTAAGCACGGGCTTAAAGTTAAGCATTTGCTTAAGTGCTGCCTTGAGTAGGGATAGACTAAAAATGTGCGTAAGTGCTTTGCTGAATCAGGCCTAGGTGCTTAAACATCTGTAGACAGCTTCCTGGATTGTCTAGGATGTGCTGCAGTTCTTACATTTGATACTTTATTAAATCAGATCCTCCCTTACCAATATGGATCTTAAATGAATCATCTTACTTGCGACAAATTTGGTTAGAAAAGCAATCTCAGCAAACAAGCCTTGCATGTGCATAGCAGCCACAGCTACTGATTGGTCCAGCTCATCAGAATTATTTATAAATGGAAGGAGTGCTAACACAGACCTTTCTGTTCACAGGAGAGTTTAAAGAATGCACCATATTGTTCAGCGATGTTGTGACCTTTACCAACATTTGTGCCCAGTGTGAGCCTATTCAGATAGTCCTCATGTTAAATTCAATGTATCTACGATTTGACAGACTAACCACAGTGCATGATGTCTACAAGGTAATTACTTATTTTAAAAGGCTGCAGCTATTTTCATGAAACTGATTTTTGGGAATTGCAAAGGATTTCAATAAAGCATGCAATACTGGAGTTTATGGTGGCCTTGAAGGGGTCAGGAAACTAAAGGAATTTAAGTTGTTAATAACTGTTGCTGCTATTTCAGTGTTGCTATAGTTAATTAAAACAATTATATTTTTTCCACAGTTGTGTAATGAAACATGCAGAGACTGTAATTAAATGCTAAAAAGATTCAAACATGAATGGAACCAGGCCTTCCTAGTTTCCTTGACTTCATTTAGCTCATTCTGAACCCACCATTCCCCTTTTGGAGCTATTCAGAGTGGCAGATTTTAATCTCTTTTGATCTTCACCTGGTACTCCAGCAGTCATTCACTCCTTATTTTGCCATCACTGGGGTAAGGACAGTTGATCTCTTTTTACCTCAGAAAAGCCTACCTATAAACCCAAGGTGACAGGACACTTACTATATCACCTTCTGATACCAGTCCAAAGTGGTAAAACTAGTTGGATTGCCTGTTTTGGATAGCTTGGATCATTCACCTTATGCCCAACCTGGCTTAGATCATTGTCCTGGACATGCAGAAAGAAAGACAAAATGCAAGGGATGTGGCTTAATTAGGCCACAACTTTATACTTAACTCATCTGGGAACTAACTGGCTGTAACTCAAACAGTGCAAGTCATGATTACGTCCTTAATTGGTTCTACCTGGTGGAGGGCTGCCATCCGCTTCCCCTCACCCAGCTGGTCCTAGCCTGTTGCTGGGACTCCACTGCACTCCCCTCTAATGAGAGTACAGGGGCTGGGAAAAGGGGGTCATCTCTTTGCTGTATCAGGTGTTAGGACCCTCACGCCTGTTTTGCAGCTTCTTTAGGGAATGTCTTCCCCTAAGTCTACTTCCAACTCTTCTTTCTCAGGGAACCAGTCCCCTATGGAATGAATACCTGCCACCTGTTGAGTTGTGACCACTTGAACCTTACCCCACTGGGTCCCTGAGCTGCTGTGGGGAAGGCAAAAAATCTTACCCCACCCTGGCCAGCCTGATGGTGAGGGAAAAATTCCCACCCAGTCCCAAAAAAGGCAACTGATGCAATGCTCACAATAGCCCAAAGAACTCAGTTGTACACTAATCCTAGTGGAGGCTGCTGACTGGGCTCAGGCTCAAGGGTAGAGTTTATATACCCTCCCTCAGGTGCACGGGGCCAATGACTTAGCTGAGCTCCACTGGCCTGCCCACCAGGAGCCACTACCAGTCCAGACAAAGCCATCCCTGGGGCTGGGGGCTGCAATGTCTTTTTAAGTATCCTCTTTTTCTGGCAGTAACATTATCAGCTAGATCCAATTAACAACTTAGAGATGAAACTTTCATCAAAATGGAACGTGGGTATTTTCTCTCTAGTCTGCTTTTAAGGGCCAGATCGTGGCTGGCATAATCGGCTTGGCTCCATGGACTTCTGAAGTCTGAACATCCAGCCTGAAATTTATATCCCTCCCCCTACAATTGCAAATATTTATGCAAGTAGAGCCAAATCTTAAAGTCCTTACTCATTCCTTACTCAGGCAAAACTCCCAGTTAAACCCATGGGAGCTTGAGGGAAGAGTAGGTTACAGTTTCAAGGTTCCCAGGAGGGAATGAATTCTTGAAACTGATCAAAGGCACTTACCTAGCCCGAACTAATAAATGTCGGAAGTTATGAAAAAATCCAATTAAAGGAAATCTCTAGGGACAGCATAAATACAATTAGAATATCTATTTGCATTAGTGACTTTGGCTGGTTTTTTTTTAAATTTACTATAGTAAATAATAACTGGCATTATCATTAAGTGGACTACCTTGATGGGAGCTATCTATAGCTACACAGTTTTCATGCCTAGCACACTATATTGTTTTAAGTGGTTATGTTAATGGGCAGCTCATTAGGAATTTGGTGCTTGCTATATTACTGGCGTTCAGGAAAAAAACACCAGTAAATCCAATTTAAGCTAATCATTCATGTAATGATAATGAATGAAACACTGAAACGTCCTAAGAGTTGTTTAGAGAATTTCTTCACAGCATAACGGCTTGTACAATGAATTTAATACTTTTGGGATTTCTGTGGTTCAAACAACCTTCTTATATTCCTGGCATGGGCTCTCCATAATCTGTTTCCAGGGCCAAATCCCGAAGTACTTTCTTAAGCACAACTTCCACTCACTACAGTGGGATCTATGCCTGAGTAAGGACTACAGACTTTGTCCATAATAGAGACTATGGGAAATCCATAGGTTGCAGAAAGACAACCTGGTCCTTTTGTAAAGAAGGTTATGACAGACCAGCACCACACAGCCTGCTTCACACTGCAATTTAATGTATTCCTAACATTTGGATTGTTTTTCTAAACTATCATTTGACTAGTTTAATGGTAAGTGTCACTGAAGAATAGCCCCTCATTTACATTTCCCCCTAAAATATCCTTTTAAAATTCAATTTGTGAATTAGCCAGCCATCTATGAATTGTCATTGCTCCAATAACCGCATTGGTCGTTGGGGCACCATCATTGATGAGCAATCAACCAATTGTCTCCACCCCGATGATTGTGTCAGTGCTTGAGTCTCCGCAAAGTCCATTCCTGTCCACTCTTTTATGTTGTCAAGCCATTTCTTCTGCCTACCTCTTCTTCTCTTCCCCTGTACTGTCCTTTGGAGGATGATCTTGGATAGGCCAGATGATCTTGTTACATGGCTGTACCACTTCAGCTTGCGCTTCTTCCTGGTCATCAAGAGATCTTCATGTGACCCCGAGCATTGGGTGATGATGTTGCAGACCTCTTCATTAGTGACGTGGTCGAAGTAGGAGATGCCCAGGATTTTACGGAAGTATCTCACCTCTACTACCTGTATTTCAATTCAAGTTCTGCCGTAAGGGTCCATGTCTCGCATGCAAACAGAAAAATGGAGATGACCAATGCATGCAGCAGTTTCAGTTTGGATTCTAGGGGAATGTTCTTATTCCTCCAAATTAGCTTTAGCTTTGCCACTTCTGCTGTTGTTTGCACAGTTCTTGCCAGAATTTCTGCTTTGGATCCTTCATCAGTGATAATTGCCCCCAAATACTTGAACTGTTTCACTGTCTCCAGCTCTTGTCCACTGACAGTGATAGGTGAGCTGATCCCATCACATTTGTTTGTCATCAGCTTGTTTTCTCTGTACTGATTTCCATGCCGTATTTTGCAGAGGTTTCATCCAATTGTTTCACAAGTTTGGCAAGTTCATCTTCGCTGCCTGCCAGGCCATCAATGTCATCAGCATACTGAAGATTTGCGATTGTTCGCCCCCCAATGCTGACTGTGCATATGTGACATTCTAGGAGATCAGTCATTATGCGCTCCAAGTAGATGTTCAACAGCGTGGGCAAAAGAAGGCAGCCTTACCAGAGTCCAACAGTGGTGCGAAACCACTGTCCTATTGTGCCATTGACGAGAACTGCACTGCTGGCCTTGGCATACAGTTGTTTAATGATAAGAATAAGCTTACGACCACCATTGTACTTCTTCATGGTTGCCCAGAGAGCTTTGTGACCTACTCTGTCAAATGCCTTCTTGAAGGCAACAAAGACGTGGTAGATGTCCTGCTGGTGTCATAAGTACTTCTCACATAGAACACGAAGGTTGAAAATCTGTTCTGTGGTACTTCTTCCAGCATGAAAGCCAGCCTGTTCTTCAGCGATGATATTCTCCACTTGTGGCTTCAATCTGTTCAATATGACTTTCAACAACACTTTGCTGGGATGGCTAATTAAGCTTACGGTCTGGTAATTTTGACACAATTGCAGGTTGCCTTTCTTTGGCAGAGTGATGATTAGTGACTGTGTCCATGTGGAAGACCTCTCACCGGTCTGCCAGATCTTATAGCAGATCTTGGTGAGTACATCTATTACTATTTCTCCTGTGAATTTCATCAGTTCGGCTGGGATGTTGTCAATACCTGTTGCCTTTCTGTTCTTGAGTGATTTCACCGCTGTCTCCACTTCTTCATGCAGTATTGGAAAATCATCCTCTTCTGTTGAATCTGGGCTGTCGAAGACACTAGGATCTCCATTTGTCTGGTGGTTGTATAGATCAGAGCAGGAGTTTGTCCACCTGTTGATGATGTCCCTTTCTTCTGGAAGACTGTTCCCTTCTTTGTCTTGAATTGCATTAGCTTTGGTCCATCTTTCCTTCATCAGATCTTTTAGAATCTGGAAGGCTCGTTTGCTACTTTCATTATTGATACACTCTTCAATTTTAGAGCACTGTTTTTCAATCCATATCTCCTTGGCCACCTTCATTCCTTTCTTGATCTTTCTGCCAATCGCTCTGTATTTATCAGCTCCCTCAATGCTATTCTTGTCTCTCTTAAGTTCTCTTCTAATGTCACACATCTGTAGTATTTCATTTGTGACCCATGGTTTTGTCTTCTTATGGTGTTTCCCAAGGATGTTCATTGCTGCCTCATTCATTACAGTGTTGAAATTGTTGGTCATTGTTTCTACATCTTCCTCTAGAGCAAGCAGCGGGGCAAATTTTCTGCCAATCATTGCTTGGAATGACTCTGCAATGTTTCGGTCTCTGAGTCTTTCTAAGTCAAAGTTGGTTCTGGTGAACTGTGGCATGACGATTTTCCTTAGAGGCAGCCAAAAATTTAGCATCACAAGGTCGTGATCACTTCCAATATCAGCTCCGGGGAAGCTCCTTGTTTTAGCTCTGTTAATCTCAGAACAAAATCAGTTTTGCACCATGATGTAGTCGATCTGGCTGTGATATAAACCATTAGGTGCATGCAATGTTGATCATCTGGATGCTTTATGTGCTCCTAATGTGTTTGCAAGAACCAGATTGTTATAGCTGGCAAACTCCAAAAGTCTCAATCCTCTCCTATTGGTTACCACATTACAGAAAGGGCCACAATAATCTCGCCAATCTACCTGTGTGTCAGTACCCACTTTAGCATTCCAATCTCTCTGTACAATCAGGATATCTTTCTTGTGTACCTTATCGATGATGTCATGCAGCTGATTGTAAAAATCTTCAATTTGCTCATCGTTATAGTCTGTTGTAGGGGCATATACTTCTATGATATTAAACGGTACTGCCTTTAGATGGATGGAAATAAGCTTGCTGGACATTGGGCGGCATCCTAATAGTGAATTCTTGATATCTTTATGCACAAGAAATCCTACGCTGAATTAGAAGTATTTAGAAGACTCATCTGTGTTTCCCTAAATATTAAAGGTGGAGACAATAGGCGATGCCTACATGGTGGTAGGAGGTGTCCCTGTGCCTGTATCTACTCATGCTGAGCGAGTTGCCAACTTTGCCCTGGGAATAATCATAGCAGCCAAAGAAGTGAAGAATCCAGTTTCTGGAAATCCTATCCAAGTGAGTCAGTACCACAGAGATGTACATATTTCCAAGTGCTATTTGGGTGAAAGAGTTGTTGTGTGGTAAATGCACTGGTCTGGGACTCAACAGAGCCGTGTTCTGTTCCTTTGTGACCTTGAGCAAGTACCCTAGAGCCACATTTTAATAAGTTGCCTGATTTTTCAGAGGTGCGCCCCACTATATTAGGATTAATGGATAGATGGCTGTTTAACATTTTAAACGTACATTAAATAGGTGATATTCTGGGTTTCTTTGTGTCTTTGTAAAGATTAGAGTTGGGATCCACACAGGTCCTGTCCTGGCTGGAGTAGTTGGAGAAAAGATGCCTCGTTATTGCTTGTTTGGAGACACCGTGAATATAGCTTCCCGGATGGAGAGTCATGGGATTCCAAGTAAAATTCACCTTAGCCCCACTACCTATTAGTGAGTAGCTACAGTAATGCTCCTTCTTCTTTACAGCTTTGCTGGAAAATTTTGCATTGGGTTTTAGATGTAAATCCCATTGTCTTCCATAACTTACTCAGTTTTAACAAATATTTCATTACAATAATCAGTTCTTGTAAAACAGTTTTATTTGTCCAAATTATTTTGAGGCAATTACATGAGGGTGAAATTTACGGTCCCTGCACAAAGACAGATTACTCTGATTCTACATTTTAGAGTAAAATATTTCAAAAATATTTTTCCATATCTCATGTGAATACATACTACATAATGGTGTGATGTAAAGACGCATTAGATCATCTAGGCTGACCTGCATAAAATAAGCCATAGAATTTCATCCATTTATCCCTGTACTGGGCCTGATAACTTGTGATATAACGGTTTTATTGGGATTTATTTAACATGAGCTACATAAACCACTGTATTTTTTCCACCCATGAGGAGTACAGCTTTCTCAATGCCAATAAAACCTTTACACTACACCTCCATGTTGTTTATAAAATCAGAGCTTTTGTTCACCTAAAGAATCACTTATTTGACCCCTTTCCCTAGTTTTTACTCTCTATTTTCTAAAAATAAAGGACTGAACTCTGTTCATCTAAGTCTGAAGCATAATGATAATTTCTGGTATGTAATAGATGAAGTTTGCCATCAGAAATACTTAGTTAAACGACATTAGGGAAGAAGAATTAGTCCAACTCGTGATATGGACAATTTCATATCACCCTATACCCGCTCTATATAAAGCTCTAATTGGCAGGTAAATCCCGCCTCAATCACTCGTATATTTTACTCTGGCTTTATGGACAGTAAGAACCCTACATATCAAGTGAGAATTTGATTTTGTTAAACGTTATTAGAGTCTGAGACAAAGTCAATTAAATTCATTGACTTCAGTGGGCTTTGGATCAGACACTTTGTGTATAAATACATAGGCAAATGAAGCCTTGTTCTGAATACAAAAACCAGCTTCAGAGCAAAATCCTTCTCTCAGTTATTTGTAGGGGATCACAACTGGACTGTCCTGGTCTCTCTACCTGTTTTAGTTTAATTGCTGGTATACACCATGTTATTCTGAGAGGAGAAGGCTCAGAAGCTGATAATTTTTGATCTGTATAAGCCCCTTTTAATGTAATTGTTATTGTTGTTCTAGCTGCCTAAAAGACAAAAGTTTTGAGATGACCGAAAGAGGAGAGATCGAAGTGAAGGGCAAAGGGAAAATGTATACGTATTTCCTGATTAGAAACAGGACTGCAACTGAGAATGAGATCATGGGAAACCCAATAAAGGAATCAGATTCTGACCATGAATCTGTTCAGTCCTTTCAGGAGTCTAGGATCAAAATGATACAAAGTTCATGTCAGCAAGGTAGAGTTGGCATAAAAGAAAACCAATTCTTTCCACAGTCTTTTCATTCCAATTAAAGTAAATATTTGTTCCCATCTTTCCTCAGCTATGCAGCTCAATTCAGACCAGTATCAGCCTCCAACCATAGCAATGAAGTACATTGATGGTCTTACAGAAACACAAGCCAGTTACAAAGGAAGAAGTCAAGAAAGAATTATGGATTTAACAGGTATTTTCTTTGTTACTGAATATTCAAAAAGTGGAATTAGAAAGCATTTGAGACTTGATCCTGCAACTGACTATATTACTCATGTGAACAGTCATTGCTTACATACAGATGCATTATATCAATGGGACTCCTCACATCAGTGGCTGCTTAAGGCTAACCATCCTGCACATTGTTTGGGGCTGACCATAGCCATCTTCACAGTAATCCCAGGCTTCAGGGATGGGCTAGGGAGAAAGAAGGTCACAATGAGACTATTCTGACTACCATTATCTTTACGATTTTGAAGGCCCCAATGAAGTTGTTTCTGGGATCCCGTGCAGTGGTCAAAGCCGAGTGAAGTGGGAAAGGGTATTCTCACTGCACCAGCCAAGGAGGAGGGGGAGCAGCTAACGCAGACCATATAGAGGAAAGGGCTCTGTGGGGGTACATGAGTCACCTTTGCCAGAGACAGGATGGGGAGCTCTGATTCCCACCCCAACCTTCTGTAACTTTATCTGTTGGTCCCATCTCCTCAGTCTCTTTTGACCCAAGTACACTCAGGATTAATTCCTCAAACATGGGGGTCTTCTGCAAATCAGGTGCCCCCATTAATTGTGCATTCCGTAAGCACTGGAAACTGGGTTGTTTGTGTTTTTCCTGGTTATGAGTGGTAAGGTTAATTAATGAGTGGTAAGGTCAAATATTATGCCTTAAGGAACAAGCCAATCACCTGTGGTTAGGAAGGATTTATTCCCTCATGTACAGTGTTACACAGTTTATCAGGTGCTTCCTGAGAAGTTGCAGGTACTGGCCAATGCTGGAAGCAGAATATCAGATTTGATGAATCCTGCAATCCTACGTACAGAACAAAAATATTTTATGGCTCTTAAACAGACTTTAAAAAAGTACATCTCCCTTTACCTCTGCTCCGCTCATGTGTAACCAGTAATATAACATTCACACCCCTTGGATAGGCCTCACACACCTACCGGTCCATCTATGGTCATTAAGAGCTCATGCAGAAGGAACATTTCTTTACAGGCAAAACACATGACTTTGAAAGCTATGGATGTCTCCATGGTGACCAGCAGCCCGGCAGTGATCCTTATCTACCCAACCAGGAAAGAATCAAATCAGCACCTGAAGAACCACAGAACAGAAATGTCAGATCCAATTTTTGCAATTTAGTTTAAGCTGCTGCCTTTTAAAGTTAAACAGGGTAAGTACATTACAATCTACTTCATTTTGCTATCTGGGTACTGATTTTGTATAGAAATTAGTACAGGGGTTTTGCAAAAATGACATTTTTTCAGTACTTGCAAAAAATACAAAACTATGGAGGATCTCACAGTTTTTTTTTATTATGGTATTTACATAATTTAATTGTAGTATATAAACATGAGATGACGCAAGATGCCTTGGACATGAGGTGCTCCTCAGCAAGCGACATATTTCTCCTACTCTCCTTCCCCTTGTACCAATTGTGTTCACGTTCTTGGGTTCCCATCCAGTGGTCAAAGTACATTGAGACAGGAAACATCCCTGCTCTAATGAGCATTCATCCCTGCTCTAATGAGCATTCATAATAAAAGAAAAATGCCCTGAAGTGACAACTGCCTTGACTTCAATAGAACTGACCACTCGCCTGAGCAAGGTGAGCAGAATTTGGCCCACATCCTAACTTTGATTCCAGTTTAATAACTGACATGTTCTCTGCAGGGGAATATATCATGTCCTGACAGCAGAGATGGACTTGGATTTAATAAAATCAGTATTTCCATTTCAAAATAAAGATGGTTTTTGCTTTTTAGTATTTATGGGCCACACATCAGTTTATAGTTTTTATACCTACATTTGTGCTGCACTTAGAAGACCTTAAAAGGAAACACACTGCTGAATATAAAAGCATTTTGGTCCCAGTTCACCCCGTGCAGAGGGCCGGTACAAGGTCTATGCACCACTTGAGTCCTCTAAGTCGGGTTTAAGTGGGATATAAGTGGATTTCAATTTATTTCTGAGCATCCCTCCCCACCTAAACAAGATAAATAAAGATCTGGAGCCCAGCAATGGGGCATGACTTTGCTCCAGACAAGCAGTTGTTTAATTTCACGTACCTAAAGCTGAAAATGAGATTCAGGCTCGCTAGATGATTTACCTCCACTGTAATGTACCCTCAGAATACATTTGATCAACAATAGCAGGCGGAAACGACAGGCACAGTTGCCAAAAAAGGATTTGTGACCTATGACATAGAAAGGAACCATGATGGACATACTGACTGTGAACAAGATAGTGCATGGCAAAAATTTTCCTCTTATTGCACTGCAGCCATCCTAGTGTGGATGTAACACACCAGCCCCCAGTCAGGGGGTTGGCTTTAGACTCCACCCCCAAATTGATTTAAGGTCTGCAACTGTGGATTCCTTAACTACATAAGTGTGTGAACATGAATACACGTTGATGCACTTTGAGCAAGTAGTCACCAGGGTGGATAATGTGGCTACTGTGCTGACATGCTCCGGGGCATCAAAGTTCCATCTCTGTATATAGGTGCATCAGAGGCAAATGTTCAGATCTCTTTTAAATACCAAAGAAGAATGTGAGACTTCTGTAAGGAATCTTTCCTCTGAAGAAGACCCAAAGGGAAGTAATGTTATTTCATCAAGTTAAATGTTTCTGTTAATATGTAATAAAGTAATATGACTTGTCTGGCCAGGTGCCCTAGAACATTAACATTTTAGACACTACACCTGAGCACTGTGGGACAGTCAGAATTGAACTCTGTTTTATTACTGGTATGTTTTTAAGCATGGCCCCCCTGCTCTCTGAGAACTGTGTATTGTTTTGGTGATGGCCACACCTGCTATAGGTTACAGACCTAAGTTTTGCAAAAAGAAAAGGAGTACTTGTGGCACCTTAGAGACTAACCAATTTATTTGAGCATAAGCTTTCGTGAGCTACAGCTCACTTCATCAGATGCATAAACTGGAAAATACAGTGAGGAGATTTATATACACACAGACCATGAAAAAATGGGTGTTTATCATGTTTATCATGTATATAAATCTCCTCACTGTATTTTCCACTTTATGCATCTGATGAAGTGAGCTGTAGCTCACGAAAGCTTATGCTCAAATAAATTGGTTAGTCTCTAAGGTGCTACAAGTACTCCTTTTCTTTTTGCGAATACAGACTAACACGGCAGCTACTCTGAGACCTAAGTTTTGTTATAGTAAAACTGGGCAATCTTTGGTGGTGGGTTGTTCCTTAGATCTGTGACATCTGCATTCCAGGCTACATCTTACTAAACCCCTTCTCACTCTGGATACCCTGGAGCCCTTTACTTTCCACTATGAGTATGGACAAACTGTGCTCGTGTATTTATATACAAATCTCTCAAGAGACATAGGGCCTGACTCTTTCCTCATTCACACTGACTCTCACTGACACTTAATCTGAGGGACTGGCAGTGAAATCAGTGGTGTCTTGTCGGTGTAAGAGGACAACCTGTCCTGAAAGCATTTATCTGCCCTACTAGACAATTAATTAGCCTTTCTCAAAGAGTCACATATGGTGGAACAGTGTTCTGTGTTCTTGCCAATTTTCCCAATTTGGACCGGACAGCTGTAAGATTTGCTAACCTTTCTGGGTTCCCAGTGGTCCTGGGCAATTGGGAGTGAAACTCCTTTTGCTGGCAGTGTTCCACTCTGGCCACTAGAAACAAGGGATCCTAAGGCTGCTGCAGTCAGCAGCTGCCTCTCTTGTTGTTCCTCAGCTGTCCTGACAGCTCCCCTTGCTCCGAGTGCCTCACTGGAGAAAGAAGAGGATGCACTCTCCCCAATCCCAGTAACATCAGGGCCTTGACAGCTGGAACAATGTCAGGCCCCCTGGCATAGGAAAGGAGGCCATAGAGGGACAGAAGAGGAATGAGAGATCCCACAGGCAGCTATCCCAGAAGGAGAAGGGGCAGATCCTCCAGTAGGGAGTGGAGAGAAGGGAGGGCAGCTTAACAGGAAGAGCAAGAGAGAGCGGGTTGGCAGGGGAGAGAGAAAGAGAACCCAGCACAGCTGGCAGAGAAGGAAGTGGGAAGACATCACAGGTGCCCGAGAAAGAGAGAGAAGAAAGAAAGGGGGTGGAGGAAGAGATATCCCAAAAGAGATGAGAGTTAGGGGAGCAGGCTACCTTGCTCTCCCTGGCGGATCTCCACCGAAAAGATGCCTTCATGCTGTGTAGCCCTTTAAAAATCTTTTTTCCAGGTAACCAGCTATCAATCATCTCCTTGCTAGGACGTGTGAGGATGCAAGGCTCAGCGCTGGGCAGAGTATGGGGCTCCACTCTGGAAGGGAATTAGCACTTGAATGGCTGAATAATGTCATTTGCCCCTTCTCCAGTTTGGAAGCTCACACAACTGCATCACCCATGAAGACCTCTCTGGACCAGCAGACAGTAAGGCAAATTTGATTTATACTAGGTCATTTTCCACTGAAAACACTGTGAATGTTTAACATGTGAAATATTTTAAATGCTAGTAACTAGTCCAATTCTAAGCGCTATTGAATAATTTATTCCAGGGGTTCTCAAACTGTGGGTTGGGACCCCAAAGTGGGTTGCAACCCTGTTTTAATGGGATCCCCAGGGCTGGTGTTAGACTTGCTGGGGCCTTGGGCTTCAGCTTTGCTCCCCCAGCAGTGGGGCTGGACTCAGGCTTCGGTCCCCCTTTTTGGGGTCATGTAGTAATTTTTGTTGTTGGAAGGGCGTCACGATGCAATGGAGTTTGAGAACCGCTGATTTATTCTGTTAAGTTTTATTTCATGCTCTGTGTGTGTGTGTGTGTCTGTGTCTGTGTGTATTTTAAATCTACATGGGCAATGTCTTCAGTATGTACTCTCTTATACAAAGTCCTTCTAATGTCTCCCATACGGAGATCCATCCAAGATATCCTATGGGCACCCGGTTTTTAAAAATAAATTATGGCTGCACATCATTAGTTGTTCTTAAAGCAACAAATACCACTAAAGATGTTGAAATAAAGGGGACTAGACACACAACATAAATAGTTTGGGTTTCACTTCACTATTCATGACTTTTTACAAACACTATGGGAAGTTAGTGCAGGTTTGCGCTCCTAAATCAACTAAGTGCTTTTGAAAATCCCACCCATAGTGTCTTACAAAAGAATCAAAACTTGTTGCTAAAAAAGAACCTGGGCTAAAATTTTCAAAAGCACCTAGAGGAGTTAGGCACCTTAGACATTTTTTACCCATAATTAACAATGTAATTTCAAGTAGAACTGGGGAAAACAGTCCCAAACTCTCAAAACCTTCCCATTTTTCAGTAACTTTTTCATTGGTTCTGTTCGCCCCACCCCACTTCTTATGAACATTGAAGCAATAAAATTTTACTTGCAAAAATATACAAGGAAATTTAATTTTTAGGTTGCAGCCATATTATTTATTACTTCTACTGTGATCAGAGCCGTCATTGTGCTAGGGAATGAACATACACCTAGCAGGAGACAGTCTCGGCTCCAGCGACCTTACAATCTAAATAGACATGTCAGAAAAGGGGTGAGAGAAAAGAAATCTGATTGCCACTTTATGGATAGGAAACCAAGGCACAGAGAGATTTTCAAATTGTGTAAGGGATTTCGATGCACAATTCTCATTAAACCTGGGATATTCAAAGGAGTCTAAGGATTTTAGATCACAAGAATACAATTTTCAAAAATATCTAAGTGACATAGGAGTCTAAATCCCAGTTTCAAAAGCAACACAGACAGCGACTTTCATAAACAAACATTTTAATTTAGATTCCACATTAAAAGAAAAAAAATATTTCTAATAGATTCAGGGGAAAAAAAATCAGAAAACCAGTGAAACATTTCAACTGAAACAAACATTTTATTTTGTTTTTAATTTATTTGTGCAAAATAGTTCCTATTTTCAACCAGCCTAACTGAGTTCTTTTAAAAGCCTCACCCTACATTTTCAAGTAACTTATATTTAAATATGCAGGAGAAGGGAACACTCAAATAAATAATAATAAAAAAAATTGTAGAAGCAGAAACCGATATTGATCTAAAGAAGTCAAAGTTGAACTGCTCAAAATAATTAGGCAAAAGATTTGCAATAGTTATGTGAAACTCTTGCCAGAAATACAGCCCCTTTCAAAGGGCTGATGACTAAAGCTTAGTAAATAATTCACAGTGTATAGTTTGTTTGATGAATTTAGACTTTTTCCATTTATATTTGATGAGTAGCCCATAGTTCTTGCAGATATATTCATTATTCAAAATCATTTGCCAAATAATTTATACAACTAATTCTTAGTTTTTAGCTCATCCACATGGAAATCACTGTCTACATGCAAGATCTGACATTTAAAATTCAAGCTGTGTTGGTTAGCTTTGGTTGAGCCCATTGGTCATGAGGCATTGCTAGTGTTCTGTGGCTCTGATTCAGGAAAGCACTTAAGCATGTCCTAAAGTCTCACTGATTAGGGATGCTTTCCACAATCCAAGCCTGACTGGATGTACACTTAGCATCTAGTTTCTGGTGAGAGAAAGCTTATGTTTGCAAATATAAAAAGTCACTTTCGGCAAATATTTTCTAAAATTAGCTGTTCATTGGGCTGTCCTGCCAATAAACTTATTTGCAGGCATGTTCACAAATCATGAACAAATGGAGCCAAAAGGAAATCAGTTTTTTATTAGAGTGACTATCTATGGAAACAGTTTTTGAGCTATTCACCCAGTTCTACTGGCAACATTACAAAGCATCACTGGATCCAGATTGAACATGAAAAACAACATGAGCAGTGAGCTCACACATTCTCATCTCAGTGAGAATATAAAGATTATTTTCTAAAAACAACAAACTAAACTTTAAAATTTCAGAAATGAGACACGGTGAGAAACTTTTTTACAAGAACACATTTAGCTGAATGTAAATTGATGGAGTAAACTCTCAGTCATTGCTCTAAAAATATTCAGATAAATATGTTGTTTAAGTGCAGTCAATTGGAATAAATCCCTTCTGTAGCCACATACTATATTAATCATGTGTATAAACACCTCCTCTTTGTGCTTATGGTTAGTGATATGCATATACCTGGACAGTGTATAGAGAAATAGGATTGTATGTGCAATATTCCAGTCTGTAAATATTTGCAGCCAAATTAAACAATGTTTTGGCAATGTCTGTTTCTTTAAATAACTGGAGCGGGTAAATAGTTCACAATAAATAATTTACTTGATGAGTTTTTCCTCTTTTCCTTGTCATGAATTGTCCCCACTTTTCCTTTTCCTCACATTTTCTTTGTATTTGAAGTTATTTGCTAAATATTTTCAGCAAATAATTCTTGATCTGGAGCTTGTTCACAAGTAATTCACTACAAGCGTTTGATATTCAGAATTCCAATCAAAACAGCTGAACACATGGTATGTTTCTGGTGGCTGATCAGATGAGCATAACTTAGAATCAGGCTCTTGATGGCATTTTCATAGTAAGATCTGTCATGGTTTCTATTCTCTCAATAGTCCCTTCATGCAATTTTAGGTGAACATTCCTGCCAGTACCTCATGCGCTAGAATATTCACAGAAAATGAGTAGAAAAGGGATATTGACAGTCAAGGTGAATGCCTATAAATATTCAAATGACTGTTAACATATTATTCTCAACACAGAAGCCCAGCTATATTTCTATTATAAGGTTTTACAGAAAACACAGAAAAATTCACAGGTCCTTTAATTGTTTCTATTTTGTGATTTCAAATATATATTTTTCTAGCAATGGGAACAACAACAAAACATAAGAAATTGTGTTGCGTGGTAACAGTAACACTGCAACATATGCTATTTAAAAGTAGTTCTTGAGGTATGTGGATCTTGCAAAAATATACTTGGTGGTGGTATAGTGTTACCAAGGGATTTCAACATAGTATATAGGCTTCTGACAGGTTTTGTCATGGCTTCCATTTTCTTGCAAAACAACAGGCCAGTGACCTGGAACACAGTCTTAGTGATTCTCTGAAGGCATCCTGCCAAAGCACTTTGCAGAAACATAACCTGACACACAGCTATCATTAAGGCTAGTTTATCTCAAGAATCAATGGGCCTTTAAAAATTCACCAGCTCACATATCCTTTTCAATAATGGTGCTTAACTGTTTTGTGTCCTGATTTTGTGGGCATTTGAAAGAACCTTGATTTTCGGAATAAGATGACATGTCCATTGGTAACAGGAACCTAACCGCCTTTACTTTACCCCTAGAAGAAAATGAGAAAGAATTATGAGTTGCTATGAATGTACAGGGTGTGCAGAAAACAGTGAGAAAAGGGAAAATTCCCCAAGACTACATACCACTTGTATGTCTACAAAACGCATACAGACTTAGTGAACAAATGATTGCATCATCTGTCAGGTTTGTGCTCCCCATGCCTGTGTGTACTCATATACCTGCATACTCTTTCAGTGGTCTTATACTTGTGCACAGAAAGGTCCAACTATTGAAAGTGTGCAAGCAGCTATAAAATGTTTTAAGGTACACAGACAGTTGCATCTTCCAACTATGTATGTGCATCCTCAATTTTGCTCACACAAGTGAATACCTGGTAAAAATTAAAACATATCCCTTCAAATGTTCAGAAATCAGAAATCTGGAGAATAAATGATCAAATTATCTCTCTCCCTGCCCCCCAGTCCTTTGCTGTAAATGCCACTTTTCCTCTGTCCTTCAAGCCAACAGGAGAAAAGAAAATCATGAAAACGGTGAAATATTTTTTCTCCAATAGTTATTGTAGGATAAAATATGCCCCAGAGCAGACGACCTTAACAATTCTCTTTGCTCTACTTAAATTCAACCAAAGCCTTGCATTATGGGTTAAATTAATCTCTATGGAGATTAACCATCCAGGCCTATGCACTGCTTAAATCCTACTTATGTCTTCAACATAGGACTTAAGTGGTGTATGGTCATTGTGTGGACCCTATGCATAGACCTGAATGTTACCCTAATGGGTAACCCTTTAAGTGGTGCAAAAGGTCTCATGTGGACCTTCTGCACTCAGGTCAATTTTATGAGTTAAAGAGTAATTTTGATCATACAAGCTACATTCCATTTCCGTGTGTATAAAGCACATGGCTATTATTTGTAAGCTAGAGTGATCTTTCAACTTGTGTATTAACCACCTTCCTGTAACTTATACACAGATGGAGAATACATATCATGGCAAGATGAATGCTAAGGGCTAGGGACTGTACCATTTAGGCACTTCGCTGTATATGGAATGCTGTGTAGATGCTGCTTGATCACAGTTTGTACCACAGGATGTACAATCACTCCCCCAACCTCTGGAGTGCAGGGCAGTATGCAGACCACGCTGTCCTTTAGCATAAGCTTTCTCTTCCGGCTCTGCCCTTCCCCACCCGCTTTGGAGCAGTGTACACATAGGATTGGACCTCAAGTCAAGGTTTGCTTCTGCAGTTTAATAAAAGGAACCATGTTTATAACCTGCCCGATGTGTGGCACTTTGCTGCAAGTCAGTGGAAATTCTGCCCATGGCGTGCATGCAGAGTGGTGCCTGTGAATGATTCTAAACAGGCTTTTGTATACTTTGTAGTTTTGCTATAAATCCAAGAGCCAGGAGAATCAGTAAAACATCTTCTAATGAGTCTTTTGCTTTCTTACAGTAACCTCTCATATTTGCTTTGCAAAATGTTTATTTTCCAGTACTGAGTGTAAAGTGTTTTGAGATCTGTGGATCAAAAGCTCTATATACCTGCAAACTATTAATGTTTAGTCATAGTATTATTAATTTCTACAACTACTTTAAGAAATTGCCACACCAGATAAAACAAAGTCTAGTCCTCCCCAGTCCAGCATCTTGTCTCTGACCATACTTTCAGAGGAAGGTGCAAGAAACCCCCATAGTGAACAACGAATGCAATTGCTTGTAAAAATGATGTATAATTAGCCTGTGGAACTCATTGCCACAAAATATCATTGATACTAAGAGTGTACTAGGAATACAGAAAGTATTAGACATTTACATGGGTAATGGGAACATCCAGTCATGGCAAAAACATTTAAAAAAATAAGTGACAAAGCTTTGTGATTCAGGGCATGAGCCAATCACCATACTAATGGGGGTTGTGAAGAAACTTCCTCATAAATTAAGATAATTCATAATTGTGTTGGGGTATAGTTAAAGACTTAGGCCTAGCTGAATAAGCCCCTCAAAATGCAACAGGCAAAATTGCTGACAGGGCTTTCTAATAATTTACAAACATAAGTGCTAACTTTGAGCAAAAGTCCCTAAAAACGTATGTTTGAAAAAAATAATAATATGCTGACATTAGGGCACGCTGTTCCCCATTAATTTCCTATTCAAATAAAAAAATACTTCAGGATGCTACATGGGTACTGAACAATGATACTAAACGATGGACAATTGCTGAATGGTAAAAATGAAGGCTACATTTTGTTAGTTTAGTTTCTAGTTCATGACAATGTATGTTACATGGTAAAAGGATAATTGAGTTGTGCTGATGATTTGTAATAACATAGAATGGAGAATGAAAAACAAATTATGAAAGTTTGGGTAAATGTGTAAGTGGGTATGTGGAATGATAGATGACAGAATGGGATAAATTAATATATACAAACCAAATGGACAAGGGCCCAAACTGGAGAACACCGGCCCAGAGATAGAATTGACCATCATGAAGTAGAGATCCTCACTGTCCCCTGGAACTCAGTAACTTGGGCCCCTACCTGTTCCGTCTTATCTTATTGTCTGTCATAGATATATGATCAGAAACAATAAGTGACACTGACTTTGTCAGAACATTTATAAATAAAGGCTAAAAATTGATTAAGCCTAAATTGGGTGGACTCATGCCTCAGTTTCCCATTTTACAATTGTTTCCTGCGCCTTCTTCTGAAGCAGCTAGCACAGGCTACTGATCAGAGATAGGATACTATATTAGACGGACCATTGCTCTGAGCTGGTATGGAAGTTCCTGTGTTCTCAAAAGCAGTAATAAAATAGTCAATACTACTACTTTGACTAACAGGTAGTTATATAGCAATTTTCAACCATGGATCCCAAAGCATTTGTTAGGAAATATATATTTTTGATCTGTTACCTTTTCACTTTCATCAAATGTTCCTTTTTTCTTGGATTATGAGAAAAGGTAAATATCTTCTCTATGCCATTCATTGTTTTGTGCACCTCTTTCATGTACCCACTTATTCATATCCTCTGTAAACTAAATAGCCCCATGGTGAACAGTTCAAAAGCACTTAAAAGTCCTGTTGAAAAGAGCCTAAGACCCAACTGACTTTCAGTGAGACTTAGGTTGAAATCAATAGGAGGTAGATGCCTAGGCACTTTTGAAAATCCCACTGTGTGCTAGGTGCATCTTTAGGTGTGTAAATACCTTTAAAAATTTAGCCCTAAGTGAGATTTTAAAATGGGACTTATGCACTTTTGTATATTTTACCCCCAGTCTTTTTCAGCCTTTCATACACAAGACTTTCTGTGCTTGTAGGCATTTTTGTTACTCACCTCCGGACTCCTTCTAGTTCTACTATTAATTTTTTTTAGCATAGGGTGACCAAAACTGAACATCCTATTCTAGCTGAATGCAAATCACCAGTTTATATAATGACATTATAATATTTCCAGTATTATTTTCTATTGTACACTTTAGATATCCTAACTACTTTTGTGTACATTTTTGATTGCTGCCTTATATTGGAGAGGTTTTCACTGAGCAGCGGACAGTGACACCCAAGACTTGTTTCTGAGCAATCATAGTTCATTTAGTACCTAGCACTGTGTACAAGTAGTCTTCCCAAGGTGCAAAGTCAACCTATAATGCTTCGAGTGACAGGAAAGAATCAAATTACAATAAAAAACCTAAATCAACTGTGAAATGTATTAATCAAACTTCCAACAAGTTAATCCGGATCTCCTTAATGTCCTTATGCTTTTCATTCAAATAGAAAAATGTAGCTTAGCTTGCCAGAACAACACACCAATCTATAAAACTCCCATTGATTTCTCCCAAAGGGGCCAGAATTTCATTTTTTTTTTTTTTTAATTGTTAGTTAGGCGTCAGTCCTGCGTTGAAACCAATATGAGTTTTGCCATTGACTGCACTGAGAACAGGCTTAGGCCCCTTATCTGAGACAGAATTTTCCCCTGTGCCTCACATACATTTCACAAGTTATCCTCATAATAAAGAGCTTTGAAT